TTAGGTTGTAGGGATGTGGCCCAACACACCGCGGGATTTAAAGCAGTTGAGGCTGGTGCCAATTAGGATGTCGTGACTGCCTCCAGGAAGACTCCCAAACTGAGCTCTCTTTTCCCCGGGCCCAGGAGTCTACTCTACTTGGTTCGGCCTTGGAATCCTAGCCCAGGGAAGGATGTTCGCTTGCCCAGGGTTAAGGGGTTAAAAGGCCGGGTGGTAGGTGGTCCGGGAGGGGAAAAGGAGTCAGGGAAGCCAAGAGGCAGGGTGTGCGGGTGAGGGGGGAAGAGCCCCCCAGTGTGACCCCGTGAGCTGGGTCTCTTGCATTCTGGCCTCGATGCTCCAGGTGCATGCCAAAGGACTCCTCGAGGAACCGGTCACTTGAGAGTCCTGCGACCTCAGGAGCGGAGCCACCCTGTGCCCTTGTTAGAACACGACAGGCTCCCGAGCCCCTGAGTCCCGCTGCACCTACTGGATGAACACAGACAGCGGCCCTGAATAACGTTGTTGTTGTTGTTTTTAAAAAAACTCTCTCTCACAGGTATATACACACGCACAGAGACCCGAACCACGAATCAGCGAGCCAGACTGGTAGCTTTTAAAAATTCAGAAAGCGACTTGTAGCTTCATTAAAGCAACATCTTTACAGTGTGCAGGGGCCGGTGTCCAGGAATCAGGAATAAATCTTCAGCGCCTGAGACGGAGCGACCAGCGTCTCTCCCTCGCTGTTCACTTCTCAGGATAAATTCTCCCCTTCCTTCGCCCAGTCCTCCCCGCCCCCACGCCCCACCAGCCAGCCCTGCCCGAATAATCCGCTCCTGCACCCCTAATCAGCAGTGGTTTCCGCCCCGAAGCCCAGCTGGGCATCTCTCTGGATCTTGCCCTTGCTTGACCATGAAACTGAAAAATCAGTTCTGTTTTAAGTCCTTTTACGCCCGAGTGTCTTTGGCAGTCGAATTCCCTTAGAGGAAGCCTGCGTTTGCTAACGGTAGTATTGGGGTGCTATCGGGGCCGCGGAGCCTGCGATCGGGTTTCTCAGTCCGCGACCAAAGCGTCACCCTAGACCCGGAGTCGAGCAAGTGCCCGCGTCAGCAGAAGAGGGACGGGGGCGAGGGGCGGCCAGACCGGCCGGAGCCGGGCGTGGGTGGGAGGGGGGCGGCCTCGGGTCCCGGGGGTGCAGGGCGCGGTGCCGACGCCGGGGTGGGGGGTGGGGGGGGGGAAGCTTCTCCATCGGGAAGCGCCGCCGCGGCGGGGACAGGGACCCATGTGGCCCCGCGGGCCTGGTGGCCACCGAGTCGGGGCGCAGCTCACGCCCGGGCCACGGGGACGGGGCCCCGCGGTCCCATCCCCCACGAGGCAGCGCTGGAGGAGGAGCGAGCGGGTCCGGGGGAGCCCGCGGGGACCCTCCCCCCCGCCCCCTCCGCCCGCCCCCGGGAAGGGGCCGGGCCCGCAGGTTGGGTGCAGGCTGCCGGGCGAGTGACCTTCTCCCGCGTCCTCGCGGCGCGCAGCCCCGCACACGCGGCGTCCCGGCGCCCGAGAACTTGGCTCCGCCGCTGGGGGGCGGCAGGCGGGCGGGAGCGGGCAGGGGGCGGGGAGGGGCCGGGATCGTGACGCCAGGTGGGCTTCGCGGCCCCCTCCACGGCAGGGAGACCCCTTCTCCTCTCCCGGCCGGCCTGGCAAATGAGAGGCCCCGCCGCCCCCACCCTGGGCTGGGACCCCGACCCTCCCGAGGGCGCGCAGCGGAGGGCGCGGGCCGCTGGGCGGCGTGTCGCGGTCGAGGGGCCCCTAACGGGGCGCCCCCCCGGCCTCGGAGTCGTTCTGACCTCCCCTGCGCACCCCGCGCTCCAACCTGACGCTCACGGCGCACCCCTCGACCATCCCCACGACCCTCCTCGGGTCGCGGCCCACGTCTGCACCCCTCATTCTGCCCTTGCTGGGCACCGGCCTCGTCCTCCCCGCCCCCCACCAACACCCCCAAGGGACAGCCACCCCTAGACCCTTGGCAGCATGAAGCCGGGGCAACTCCTTACCACCGAACTGGGTCCCGCGCAAGAAAGTTCTTAACTTCCTGGCCCGGCAATGGATACATTTTGTTTCATTTCTTCTCTAAGATCTATTTGTTTTTAAAGTCAGTCTCCATATTCTTGTCGTATAAATATTGTGACGGGAAAACGCTACCTGTCAAAACAAATGGACTCTGACCTCTCTACCCCAGCGTTTACACAGTCTCATCTTACTCTTGCAGAATTTTATTTATGACAGGTTTCCTCCTCTGTGGATTATTTTTTGATCTCCCACCAGCAGAAGCGAGATGGTTCAGGAGAGGGGGCTTTGAAGGAGAGGGCTGGCGTTTGCTGGGTCTGGTGCGTAGACTCATCGGGTAATTCTCCTTCAGACCTTTTCTGCCCAGCGCTTCCTTATCCCACTCTCCTACGTGGCAAACTTCCCTCTTTTCTTCTTGAAAAGAGTTGGGGCCCCTAGAGAATCTCCTTCCCAGAGGTCTGCGTGGTGCGTGCACAGATGTGTCTACCTCCAAATATTTTTATGCCCACCATGAGGAGGGCCAAAGGGTACCAGCGAGCCCAGAGCCTACTCGCCACCCATTCTGCTTTCCTAAACTTTTACTGGCCAGCTGGACCCAAGACAGATGAAGGCAGAGCACTGGCATCTTTGAGGCATCCACCTAAACAGGAGGAAGAGACAGAAGGGAGACGGAGAGCGCAGAGGGGCAGAGGCCCTGCTAGCCGTGGCTCCGGGCTGCTCCTCTAGATGCTCCCACTGGGTCCCCACTTGCTCCAGAAATGGGGAGGCAGAGACTCCGCAAAAGCTTTTCCTGTCTAGGGTAGGTAATGACCCAGTCAACACTACTGATGACATTTGCAGTGTGGACTCCAGTTCTGCCAGAGACAGTGGGCTGTGAGGCGCCAGGGGCTGGTCACATTTCAGGCAGTCTCCCCCCCTCCCCACCCCCCACCTCTGCCGGTTTCACACACCCCTGATATGCGGTTTGTGTGTTTGCAAAAGGGGGGTGAAATCCATTCCTCGCTCCGTCTTCTTTCCTCCCTCCCTCCCTCCCTTTTCCCCCTTGGCAACCCGGAAGAGCTCCGCTGCCTACAGTGAGCAGAAGAAGGCGGAGGGAGGGGGTTCCTAGGAAGGATGCACATCACCCAGGTTTTACTGCCTGCTGGAAGGCTGCGTGAGATGCCGTGAGCTGCTGGGGAGGTTAGGACCGACCGCAGCGGCGACAACAGTGGCCAAGTCTGCCTGTCATTTCTGCCTTCGGATCTCTGGCAAGTCAGGAAAAAATATAGAACAGAGCTGGCCCGCGGGAGCAAAACACCCAGGTCGGTGAATATCGTTATCCTCTCTCTAACTCCGCACCCGCTTCCCCTGTTCCACGTGGAGAGCATTAAGAGGAGGTCTCGACTCCAAAGGCATAGCTGCCCCTGGAAGAAAGTGAACTAGATCCCAGCCTTTATTGTTTTTGTTTTGTTTTGTTTTGTTTTGTTTTGTTTTCCTGGTCACTGGCAATCTTTGGCTTTCTGCAATGACCTTGGGCGAGCCTGGTGTGTGTGTGTGTGTGTGTGTGTGTGTGTGCGTGTACGCCGTTGTATGGAGGAAAAAGCTGGTAGAGCTAAGCATGAGGAGAAAAACTAACCAGAAGCATAAGCATAAGAGACAGTGGGAATGCTCGAGAAGGGCTGGACGCACATTTTCCACTTCAGAGAGGGCAGAGGATTGGGGGAAAGAACTCACTAGAAGAAGCTGAGCTGCTTCTCCCAAAGGTGGCTGAGGGTTCCGAGTGTCAATTGCATGCTTATTTCTCTTTGCTTACAAGTGTTTGCTTAGGCTCATTGTCTCTGCATGTAATTAAAGAAACAGCTGTGCACTGTGAGATAAAAGTTGGAGTCCAGATGTGTGGGCATCTGGCATCCCTGGAGAGCTGGTGGCCTGGAGGCACCTTCGTTTCCAGGAGCACCCTGACAAAACCACAGCCTAGAAGAGAGGGCGCCCAGGGTCGTGGGGAGCAGGACGGGCAGAGGGGCGAGAACTCTATACTTTCTCTTGGGACACTGGACCCACAGACCTCCAAACAGTCACTCAGTCAGAGGAGGTTCCCAACAAAGACACGCATCGGTTAAAATGCATGGGAAGTTGAGTGGATCTGGGTAAGAGAGTTGCTCTGAGATGTCTTTTCTTCCTCTCAATATCGCAGGGTGCCCTGGGACACGGACCCGGTGATTCCGTCTAGGGCAGGGGATGTCTAACCCCCAGGTTCTTCCCTGGGTTTGGTTCCTGTGTGTCTTGGCTGTCTTCTCCTCCCCTGGGGCTCGCATTCACTAGGACACTGGGGTTATGGGTAGAAAGGAGCTTGTGAACTTTGAGGAGGCAAATAATAAAGTAGCTTTTGCAGCCCTCCATCCCTTGGCGATTGTGGCGGAGAAGGTGTGTGTGTTGGGGGGCTGGGGAGGCGGCAAGGCAGTCCTGTGTCGGTTTCGGGGAAGGGAGTCCTAATCAGGCCAGTCATCGTCATCGTCATCGTGGAGTCAACCCAAGTGTCCGGATATGCACCATGCTTGCAGGGCCCAAATGGCCGATTGTGGGCAGGAGGCTCACCATCAAACCTTTTGAACGTTTGTGTGATTCTAAGGAAAAGAATAGTTTGCTGCCGGTTAGAACAGGGGAGGGGCATGGTGTCCAGATCAGCCTGACCAGCACCCAGGTGGGGGTCAGGTCCCCTGGGCTCCCAGTATTGATTCCCTTGTGGGATCCAGCCAGAGGGCCAGCTTTCAGCTTCCAGACAGCCGCCCTGCTGGGCGAAGCTTCCTGGCTTGAGAAACAAGCTGGGTTCCGAGGACACGGGTGAGTGGACGCTGGTGCACGGTCCCCACGGGCTCACCCCCCATTCTACGCAAGCCGTCTCTGCCAGCCCGGCGGAGACCCCGGCGTGGGGTTAGTCTGTCCAGCCAAAAGCCCAGAGACAGAGGAAGCCACATTTTCCTTTATTGATATTTCCACTCTGCTTTTTCTTTCTTTTCTTTTCTTTTCTTTTTTTTTTTTTTTGCAGCTGATATATGAGGTGGGGGTAAGTCGGGGGTGCAGTGAGTGGATGGGAGTGGGCGCCCCCAGGCACTCATTGGTGGAGCCTCCATGTTGGGCCGCCCCGGCAGCTCAGGGCCACACAGAGAGAGCCTACGGAAGGTCAGGTGGAGGTTGGTGGCTGAGAGCCCTTCTTTGGGTACTTAAGGTGATTTGTATCTGGGAACCCTGGAAGGCGCCAGGGAATTAGGGATCCTGATGAGGTGTGCAGGGCAGAATCCCAAAGCCCCGTGCTCTCGGGCCCCCGGCTATTCCGATCATTTCTGGGCTGCACTGCCGTGTTGTTTCCTTCGCTTCTGAGCCTTTTCACACATACATGTGCATTCGTTTTGCAGTCTGTCTTTGTGTGTGGACCCAATATTTCTGATCACCGTTTTCTTAATGGTTGGGGTAAGCGGAGGGAGCGATCGCAGGGATCCGGCCAAGGAAGCCCTGGAACCCGAGTCCGAACTCACTTTGCTTGTTGCTGTCGCTGGGCAGCGGGGACTAGAGGAGGTGGCGGGGTGCGGCCGCTGAAGGGAGAGAAAGAGACGCGTCGCCCAAGGCGCCAGTGCGGAGGTCTCCCTGGGTGTCCGATGCTGTGGGTCCGCAGGCTCATGTGTGTAGTGGCTATTTTGTTTTATATAACAACTTGCTTGAGGTCCACGAAGTGGCAGGCGGTGGAGAGCCAAGCACGGCGAGGCAGAGGCCTGGTGGGGAGAGGCAGGCGGGTGGGCGCAGTCCCGGAGGGAAGGGAAGCCGTCTGCAAACAGCTCGGAGCCCCACGCATTCAGATTATACCGTGGGGGCTCCAGCGTGTCCAAAGGAACATATGAACCATTCGTGCTTTGGGAAGCTGACGGCTCCTGTCTCCTGATCTGAATGAAACGATCTTTCCCCGTGTTCCCTCTCCCTGTGAGGAACTTCCCCTTCCCTCCTTCCCTCGAAGCCCAGTGTAGATGATCCGGGAAGGAGCACACCCGGGTTTCCTGGCTAATCCAGAGAAGTGAAAAAACACAATAGCTCCAAGATTAAGCCTCCAAATTGTAGCGGCCTGAGAGTCGCCAGGGTGAGCGCCTGGGGCTCCGCGCTGGGGTCGGCCAGGGGCCACAAGACAGGAGGGCGGCGTGCTAAGGGGAATGGAGCAGGTGGTCCAAGTGCACCCCTTTTCGTCCGAAAAATACTGGGGCCTGGACTTCACACGGGTGACTCCCGCGCTGGTGACTACTTCCTGGCTCCTGGGCCGGTCCCTTCCCGGGAGTCCCGGAAGCTTCAGCACACTGGTCTGAGGACCCCCTGGAAGGAGAGCTTGAGTCCAGATGCATCGAACTTCCACCCAAGGGCCGGTGGTAGTGCTGGGAGCCCAATGAACAGCCGGTGGCTGGGGAGGGGCCGCGGGACCGCTGGAGCCCCTCAATCCCTTCTTCCCCTCTAGGGTCGCCCACCTGGCCCCCAGACCACCAGGGCCAGGAAACAGGGGCAGCTGGGAGGCTCGCCCTTCCCCGGCGTGACTCGATATTCCTTTCCAAGCGTTCTCCAGGGGAATCTTTGACTCCTACCCAACCCCGGAGCCTCCCCCAAAGCCACCCGCCAGCCTGTGCACTCTTACACTCGAAACAGAAATCCCCTGGCCTCTCCCTCCCTCCTCCCTCTTTCCACTACACCCCTACCTACCTAATTTTTTTTTTTAAATCTCAATACCATTGGGGTTTTTCTCACCCAGGAGAAGAGGGTAGTGGCAGAGGGAGGGCAAGGATCCCCCGAAGCTGGAGGGCCCAACCTGGCGGTGGGGAGTGGGGCAGGAGGGGGTAATCTCTGCGCGCATCTCGTTTCTCTTTGACTCTCCCCATCTCTAGCTGCTCCTCCTGGCCTGGGCGGGTTTCCTTCCGAGTTTTAAACAGTGATAGATGAATAAGCAAAAAAAAAAAAAAAAAAAAAAAAGTAAATCAAACCACCCACCACCCCCAAGGCGGTGGCTCCTCTCCAGGGCAGGTAGACCCTGAGCCTGAGGCGGGTGGGCGTGGGAACCGGGAGGCGAGCTGCGCGTCCGGAGCTCTTCTCGCCTGAGTTCCCGTGGGTTTCCCCGTTGACGTCTCCGCCGCCAACATCTGCCCTCTGACAGTGAGGTTTGGGGGCCCCTTTTTCTCTGCGTTCCCCAGGTCCGCCGCTAGCCGCGTTTCATCCGAGAGCAGCCAGCACCGGCCACTGCCTGTTCTTTCTCCTCGCCTTGGTTTCTCTCCCCACTCTCTGCGTTTCTATTCATGCGGGAAAGAGGCAGGGGGCTTGGAAGGGAACTGCGGAGGTTCCACGCGGGGTGCGTTGACCCTGCGCGGTCCCAGGGCGCCGCGTCCAAGCGGGCTCCTTGGCCATTTCACCGGTGCAGCTCACGCCGGCGGTGGCGCCTTGGGCTGTGTCCCCGGCGTAACCCGCCCGCCCCGCAGCCTGCGAGCTGTTTATACAGCTTTACCTGTGCTATTCTCGTCACCAGTAAAAATCCTCGCCCGGCCACGCTAACCTAATCCCGGGGCCACGGCAGAGGCGGGGAAGGTGTGCACGCGCCAGAAGGGGGTTCCTCCGTCTTCCCGATGGGAAGGAGCCTGAGTGACCGAGGCGGGGGCTCTAGGGCTGCGGGGGAAGGAGGCCCGTTTCCCACGTCCGTGGGCTCTCTACTTTTCTCCCCCGAACAGGCACCGGGCACCCGGCGTGGTGGTGGTCGCCGCGTGGACGCGCGCGGCCCGGGAGGCGCCCTGCGGGGCCGGCGAGGCCCAGGACTCGCGTCTCCGCCCTGGACCAGGACCTGGGTGCCCGCGTTCTGCTCCCCACTTTTGCCCCCTTAGAGCTCGCACACCTCCGATCAAACCGCCGGGGCAGAGAGCGGCACCTAACCAGGGCCTCCCCGCCCGGCCTCTGCTTCCAGAGCGCCCCGGTGCCGGGCGCAGCCAGCGCAAGTGATCGAATTAAACGCCTCTTGGCGGTTATTGTCTCTCGCTAATTGCCCCAACAATGGCCACTATTAAAATGGAGACACCCAATTAAAGGCCCCGCCAGGCAGCGCTAGGCTCCGGGCGACGAGCCGGCCGCGGACCCGGCTGGTGGCGGGCGCCGGCCTCGGCACCTCTGGCCTCCACTTCCTCCCCAGACGTGCAGCAGCCGCGGCCGCTTCGCACCATTTTTAGTGACCGATCGCAGCCGAGGAAGACGGATCGCGCAGGAGCGGGAAGCGACTTCTCCCCCAGCGCCGGCTCGCCGGGCCTCGGGGCGCGCTCCGGCCCCGCAGGTTCGCGGCTGCATGTCTGCCTTTCACAGCGCGGCCGGGGCCGCCCAGGCCGGCGCCGCGGCTCCGGGGGGGAGGGACGCGGCGTCGCGGCCCGGCTCCTCTCCTCTCTCCCGCCTGCAAATATTTGCTGCCTCGCTGCAAAGCCGACTATTTCGTGCGCGCTCCGCTTGCAAAGTCCTTAAGTAAACACGCTCGAATGACCGCCCCGGGCGGCCCGAGGCACGCTCGCTCCCCCTGCGCGCGATTAGGAACTTTATGACTTGGACCCCGAGGCTCGGCTCTCGGCCGCTGGGGCGCAGGCTGCGCGCGGGCGCCCGGGGCCGCTCCTGCCGGCGCCTCGGCCCCGCGGAGCTCGCCTGGCTGTGCCGGTCGCCAGGCTCGGGTGGGGGGCGCCGGCCGCGTGGGGCGCCGCGACCCCGGGGCCGGGCAGGGGGCGCGCCCCTCACGCCGTGCGCCGCGGGCTGCGCTCCCTTCGCCGGACTGGGTGCCCCACTTCCTTCAGGACAGGGCCTCTGCGCTCCCGGGAGGGCGGGTGGGAGGGACCTGTCCCGGGGCATCTGTGTGTGTGCGGGGGGGGGAAGGGGGTGTGGGCCCCAGCTTACCCCAGCCGAGCGGAGAAAGTGAGGCTCCATTTCTTACCCTTTCCCCAAGAGGGCACACACACCCCACTCAACTTGACGCCTAAAGCGGCCGCCTCGAGGCCTGGCGTTGCCGAGGCCGAGCTGGGTCCCGCCGCCCCACGCACGGCCGCGGGACCCGGCTCCCGGGACGGGGCCGGTGGCTGGGCCGCCGCTGGTTCGGCTCCGGGATGCTCGCCCCCAGGGCGCCGGCCATCCGGGCGCTGCGACAGCCCCTTACCCTGCCGAGGGAGGCCCCGCGCCGCGCCGGAGCCCGGGGCCCTGCGGCGGCGGCCTCCTCCTGGGTCTCCTCGCTGCCTCCACCCGCGCTCCGCCGGCGGCTCCCGGGGAGGAGGGGGTGCCCGCCAGGCCGGGGCCGGGGCCGGGGCGCCCCGGGGAGCCCCGGGGAGGGGGGCCGTCAGGTCTGCAGCAGGGCGCTGAGGCGTCTCCGCAGGAGGCCAGGATCAGCTTTGCGGGCTCCGGCGGAGGGGGAGTCGGGACCCCCTCCCCCGCTTCCCCGGGCCTCGAGCCCCCTCCCCTCCCCCGCCCGCACGGGGAGGAGGAAGGCCGGCCTGCCGTGGCCGGCGAGGCGGGTCAGGCCGGCGCCGGGCCGGGCTCAGACCCCCGCAGCCCGGCTCTGCGCCTCAGGCCACGCGCTGCAGCCTCTCTCCGGCCTCGCTCCCTCCCCCCGCTTCCCCACGGGGTCCCGGGGCCGACCTCGGCCCTCCCTGCCGGGTACCCCCTCCCCTCCTTTTCCCGACCCACCCCCTCCCTGTGCTCCGGGCTCTGGGGCTGGGCCCGTGACGTCAAACCCGTGTGGCGTCGGCGAGACTGGCCGGCGCGGGCCATCAAAAGAGCAACGTCCTCTTTCCCAATTACCCACTGTCAGTCCGGGAACAGGGGCGGACCGGCTGGGAATTAAATGTTAAATACCCCCTGCAGGCTGGCTCCATACCCCGGGCGTCCGGCCGCAGCCCCCACGCCCCTGGCAGCCCCACATCACCCAGACCTGCCAGGGCCTTCGAGACCTTTTATTTTTCCAAGGTGTGGGGAGGAGGTGGGGGGGAGGGGAGAGGACTCTGCGTCTCCGTGCAGCCCACTCGGTGCTCGGAGTTAAAACGGGTAACGCCCGCCCCCCAACTTTTGTGCGTTATCGGAGAGGCGCCCATACACCGGAAGGCCTCATTTTCGCCAAATATTTTCTTTGTCTTTTAAAATTGTTTCAAGCTCACAAGGTAACATTTTCAGGTCCCGGCGTCAGCAGCTGTGTTCGCCAGAGGATGGCCTCCCCCCTCCCCCCCTTTTCCCCCCCTTTCCCCTGGCTTCCGTGTCTTGGACCGAAGAGCCACGTTCGGGACTCCCCGCGCGACTTGGCACCGGGGTCCGGGTCTAGCGTCTCCTGGGCCGGGGCCGGCGCGCGCAGAGGCGCTTTCCCGGTTTTCTCTCCGCTTGCATCCCTCATCTTCATCTCGGCGACTTGTAGCAAAACTGTGTGCGCGTCGGTCTGTCCTTGTTTATGAAGCGGTTTCCGGCGAATGTTAGCCAGAAACTAAATAATTAAAAGGTTTGGAGAGCGCCGTGCGCAGGAGTAGAGGCTGGGAGCTTGGCCGGCCCTGCAGGGAAGGAAAAAATCGATGCTTCCTTACTGGGCCGCCCTCCTAAACGGGAACTAAATGGGCTCAGGAGAAACATTAGGGGGAGACGGTGTGTGTGTGTGTGTGTGTGTGTGTGTGTGATGTTTCTCCTGTCCCGTATTAGAAACTCAACCCTGATTTCTAACAAGCCTCAGATTTAAGAAGATGGAGATTCCAGAGAAGCTCCAAAGCCAAGATCGAGGGGACCCCCGTTTCCACTACTTTTCTTTTCTTTTTTCCCCCTAAATCTTGTTCCTTCTTACATGTATCAAAACTCCTACTGAGCCATGAGTTCTGGGTTGCAAAAGAGGATTTATTTTCTGCACTGTGGTCTAAGTCTTTGTCCACAGAACTGAACAGAAACAAGCACAAGTGCAATTCCACTACTTTCTAATACATCTTTACTAGTCTTTCTACAAGGATTGTGTATTGAAACAAGACCTCTCTCGCCCCCGCCCCAAAACACACACACACACACACACACACACACACACACACACACACCGCGTTATGGCTGCATATTGATGATTTTCCTTCATCGCAAGGAAGGCGTCCTCCGGAACTTACTTTTAGGGACGCTCTCTTCTATTTCGAGTTTTTGTGTTTGCAGGGAATTTTATGGGGTAGAGGACACAAGGGGGAATGATGGCTTCCGTTCAAAGAAAACCCCAGACCGAGCTGGGTGCCGGCCGCGGGGCGGCCCGCGGGAGGGACCCACACTGTCGGCGCCCACACGGCCCTGGGGTGGGCGGAGGGTGGAAGCGGGGTCCGCTGGTCCCGCCTGACCCCGCCCGCCCCGGCCGCGTTTTCGGGCGCGCAGGCTGCAGCGGCGAGGGCGCCGCTAGGGGATGCCGTGGCTCAAAGGAGCGAGCGCGGCCGGGGAGGCTGCCGCCCGCGGGGCCGGCCAATCGCCGCCCGGCCGCAGCCTCGCCCGCTGATTGGCCCCCGCCCGGCCCCGCCCCGCCCGCCCCGCCCCCTCGCCGGGGCGTCTGGAGCCGCGCCCCCTGCGCCCCCGGGCGGCCCGGCCGCGGCCGCGCGAGTCCGGGGGCCGCCGCCGGAGTCCCGCCCGCCGGCCGGCATGGGGGTCGCAGGCAAGGGGCTGGTTCCTCGGCGGGGGAAAAACGCCGGGAGCCCGAGTAAGTAGGGCCGTGGGCGGGGCGAAGGGGAAAGTTGGGCGAGCTCGCGCTGTGCGGCCACGCTCCCTGGGCGCGGGGACCTTCCCGTCCCCTCCGTCGCCGAGGCCGCTCGGGCGGGAAGCGCGCGGGCACTGCAAGCGCCGGTCCGGAAGGGCACGCACCCCCGCCGAAGCGTGCAGTGGAGACGCTTGCTCACACAAAAGGCCGGGGGACCGCGACCGGCGGCCGCCCGAGGGACACACGCGTTGCAACGCAGCCCCGCTCCTCTCGCCCGAGTCCTCGAGGTCTCGGGCACTTCTGTCCAGAGGCACATCTCAAAGTCCTTGGGCACGGAAACCTTGTACTTTGATAGTCACGTAACCCCAAATCCATAACGTCCCAAATACCCCGGATCGAATTGAAAAACAAGTTTGGTCGTTAAAAAAAAAAAAAAAGAAAGAAAGAAAGAAAGAAAGAAAGAAAGAAAGAAAGAAAGAAAGAAAAAGTCTGAAAACAAGAAAGGCTGCCTGTAGGAACGGACTTTATGAATGGGGCTGGCCGGGTTCCCCGGCGCGGAATTATCCACCGGGCCCGGAATGAATTGGCTGGAGCGGGAGCCACATTTAAAGGGCCAGAGCGCACATTCCCTCCTTGGCCCCCCCCGCCCCCAGCCCGGCGGGCCTGGCCCACCCGCCCCGCCGCCCCTCCGCCCCGGGCCGCCCTCCGCGGCGCCCCCCTTCCGGTCAGCGGAGGGGCGGAGGCAGGGGCGGAGGGGGCAGGGGAGGGGTGAGGTCCTGGAGCGGGTTTGGGTTGCAGTTTCCTTGCACGAGTCCCCTCCTCGCCAGCGCCAGGCTCCTCCCCTCGGCGCGGATGACACTAGAACCTCCTTAAGTTGCGTCGCGCCACAGCTGTCTGCGAACACTGAGCTGCCTGGCGCCGTCTTGATACTTTCAGAAAGAATGCATTCCCTGTAAAAAAAAAAAAAATACTGAGAGAGGGAGAGAGAGAGAGAGAGACACAGAGGGGAAGAGAGAGGGACCGGGAGCGCGCGCGACGGAGCGAGCCACGCAGCCTGCCCGAGCCGTTTCTGCTCTCCCAGGGCACACGCCTCCTCCTCCTCCTCCTCTCCGCTCCTCGCCACCCAGGTTGGTACCGGCAACTTTCTTTTTTTAAGTTTGATTTTTAAAAAAAATTTTTTAAATTCTGGCTCCATTTGGGAGGACTTTAAGAAATACTTGAAACTCAGCCCTCCTCTTTTGGAGAGTTTCTGGAGGCCGGGAGGCAGGTCCCGGGATCGCTGTCCACCCCCCCCCCCCACCCCCGCCCCCAGCTCCCCGCCGCGGGGAGGAGGGAGCTGTCGGCCGCGCTGGATCCGCGCCGTGCGCGCGGGGCCCTCGGGAGAGCCGGGCGGCCGGGCGTGCACTCGGGGCCGCCCGGCTCGGGAGGAGGCGCGCGCGCGAGTGCGCGTGTGTGTGTGCGCGCGGGTGTCCCGGGCGCGCGGGCGCGGGGCCGGGCGGCTGGCGGGGGGTGGTGCCGCTTCCCAAGCTCAGGTGCTCGCGTCCGCAGCCGCTCATCCAGGTCTCCCCGCTTCTCCCCTTCGCAGGTGAGCCTCGGAGAGCCTCGGCCTCGCAGCCGCCGAGGAAGCGCCGGCCCCGCGGAGCCTCGCTCAGCTCTGCAGAGCTCCAGCCGCCTTCGCCTGCCCCTCGCCCCCCGCTTTACAGTTTGGTCTCCTTTTTATCCTTCCCTACCTGCGCTTTTTATTTTATTTTTATTGTCTGGCATTTCTTTTTTCTTCCTCCTCTCCCCTTGGCCACATTACCACTTCAAGACTTTATCTGATTTTGTAAACTTCTCGGCTCACCTTTCCTTCCCAGCTTTCCCATTGCCCCACTGAGACCAAATCATTAAACGACCCCCCGCGCCCCTCCGACGGCAGCGGCACCTGCGGAGCCTCGGAGCCCCCCCCCCGCCCCCACCGCCTCCCGCGACCTCCCAGCCCGACCGCCCTCCCTCTCCGCGCGCGGGTTCCGGGCCCGGCGAGAGGGCGCGAGCGCAGCCGGGGCCATGGAGGTGACGGCGGACCAGCCGCGCTGGGTGAGCCACCACCACCCCGCGGTCCTCAACGGCCAGCACCCGGACGCGCACCACCCGGGCCTGGGCCACTCCTACATGGACGCGGCGCAGTACCCCCTGACCGACGAGGTGGATGTACTTTTTAACATCGACGGTCAAGGCAACCACGTCCCTTCCTACTACGGAAACTCCGTGAGGGCCACGGTGCAGAGGTACCCTCCGACCCACCACGGTGAGTCCGCCGCGTGTGCGGGGGCCCCGCGCCCCAGCCCCCCCAGTCAGGGCGCGGGAGGCGGGGAGGCACCAGGGGGTGCGCAGACCCGGCGAGAGCCCCCAAGTGCCGTTCCTGCCAGCTTAAAAAAAAAAAAAATTGGGGCCCGGAAATGGGCGAGGAAGCAGCCTCAGTCGCCGCGAGAGTGTGTTTTTAAAAAGTCGCAGCAGGCGCCTCTCGCGGCCGGCGGGCCTGGGGCCTGGCGCTCACCTGGCCGGCGCCGAGCGGCCACCCCCTGCGCCCCGCGCGGCCGCCGGGCCGGGAGGCCGCCGGGGTCCGGGGCGCGCGCCGGGCGCGGGCTCTGCCTCTGCGGCCGCGCCTCGCGGGGCCCGCGGCCACGCCGGCCGAAGCCGCTCGGACTCGGTTTCTTGCAGGGGTCCCGCTGCCCCAGCTAAGCCCGGAGTTCCCCCTCCGGGGGCTTCTGCCGCCGTGCCTCAGTTTCCTTCTCCGGCACCTTTTCAGAAAGGCCCGAGAGCGATTTAGTCACACCCCCGGGTTTTTGTTTTCATTTTATTAGTGCTGTTGCTGAACCTCTCCCCAAAGCCAGCGCATTGGGCTTCTCGGCGGGGCGGCGGGGCGGCGGGGGCCCCCGCCTCCTGGCTCTGGGGAGTGGGGTTCTGGTACTCGAGCAGGTTGTGGTGGACAGATGACGCTCTTAAATTTAAGACGTTGCAAGTTTCCTAGATTCCCGGCTGCACAGAATTTTCCTGCGGCTTGTTTTTCGGCTGCGTCGCTGCCTGCACCCCCAAAACTCTCGTCTTCTGCCCCCCGCCCCCAGCCTACGACCGTCCCATTAGGCTCCCAGGGAAGAGACGGGATCCACCAGGGTTTCTTTTTTGATGTGGGATGGATTCCAGTTGTCTTTTTTTCATTTATTTTCTTTCTCTTTCACCTTGAAAAGTTTGTAAGAGTTTGGAGATGTTAAGAAATCCAGCCCTAAATAGTTAGGGGGTATGGGGGGGGGCCGCTAAGCCTTCCAGCCTCCCTGGGTTCCTGAAGAAGAAACAGAGGCACCATTTTAGGCAGGGAAAATGTGAGCCCCTGTTAGTCCAGGGGCCCCGGGTCTTCCCTGTCCCCCTACTTGGAGCCAGTGTAGTCGGGCCAATGACAGCCCCTCCCGCAGCAGGCACCCTCTGCCCTGCTGTCACCAGGCTTGAAACAATTGTTTCTGCGGACGGGGCGCTCTTTGCCCTGCTTCTGAGCGGATCAGCAGTTAGGTGGAAATGTAGATGCAGACTTAATATTATTTACGATACGACTTCCTGCATAACATGAATCTTGACCCTTGGCGTTCAGAGAACTCTCCTTTCCCCTCCCCTCCCCTTCCTCTCAAGATTTTAGTTTCAGTATTGTTCTTAATGGTTAAATAGAACGTCAGATGCAGGTAGTGGATTAAAAGATCAATAAGTGTGTGGATTTGCACCTACAGTTTGCATTGACCCCCTCTCAGAGTGCGTGGGCTTGTCTGAGTTAGGGGCCTCTGAAAACTGCTTGCTCTGGGGCTAAGTGAACTGTAGACGCGTGAGCCGGAATTTGGTGTCTCGGGGGCTCAGGTGAAGGCTCACATGTGACACTGGTGGAATGACAGCTTTGAGGGCGTATGAAGGTTGACTTTATTTTTCTTTCTATGGGATTTGGGAGAGTGAGAGAGGCAGGGCCCAGCCTTGCAAACTTCCTCCAGTGGCCTGAGCAATTCATATTCGCCATCTCAGGCCTTTGCCAGTGGTGAAGGCCCTGCAGAGGGGTGGCCTGAAGGGACCCCCCCCCCCCCCCCCCGAACGCTGCCCCTCCTCCCTTCCAGGCTCTCTCCTTCCCTGCACCGGCCTGGGGAGCTGGGCCTCTCTCCAGGGTCCGCGGATTTTGCTGGCGCGGAGCAGTGTGCGGCCAGTCTCACCCCTTCAGGCCTCATCATTCACAGCCGACTCTCTTATCAGGCTGCCCGGGATTAGGGCTGGGATGGGGGGCGCTGGGCCATTGATGGAAACCAATAAATTAAGTCAGGTTCCAGAGAGGGACCGCAGGGGAGGCCATTTAGAGAGTGTGTCTGGAGAGCCCACGTATGGCCAGGGGCCGCCGGCTCCCTCCCAGCGCCTCTCGGGTGTGGGACGCGGGTCCTTCCTGCTGCTGCGTCTGCTGGGACGTTGGTGCGGGGGACGCGGGCATAGAGGGTGTGCTGGCCCAGGTTGCAGTGGCCCGGCCTGCGCCCCGTCCAGCCTGGGTGTAGGTGGGGAGGCTCGGGTGGAGGGGAGAGGGCCCCCCCAAGCTGCTCTCACGGGCATTTCTCTCTCTCTCTCCCTCTCCCTCTCCCCACCGCCGTCCCCCCTGCCCCGCGCAGGGGGCCAGGTGTGCCGTCCGCCCCTGCTGCACGGATCCCTGCCCTGGCTGGATGGCGGCAAAGCCCTGGGCAGCCACCACACCGCGTCGCCCTGGAACCTCAGCCCCTTCTCCAAGACGTCCATCCACCATGGCTCCCCGGGGCCCCTCTCCGTCTACCCGCCGGCCTCGTCTTCCTCGCTGTCGGCGGGCCACTCCAGCCCGCACCTCTTCACCTTCCCGCCCACCCCGCCGAAGGACGTCTCCCCGGACCCGTCCCTGTCCACGCCGGGCTCGGCCGGCTCGGCCCGGCAGGAGGAGAAGGAGTGTATCAAGTACCAGGTGCCGCTGCCCGACAGCATGAAGCTCGAGTCCACGCACTCGCGGGGCAGCATGGCCACGCTGGGAGGGGCGGCCTCGACGGCGCACCACCCCATCACCACCTACCCGCCCTACGTCCCCGAATACAGCTCCGGACTCTTCCCGCCCAGCAGCCTGCTGGGGGGCTCCCCCACCGGCTTCGGATGTAAGTCGAGGCCCAAGGCGCGATCCAGCACAGGTAGGAACCTTCTCCGCGCCCGCGCCCCCCTCCCTCCCAGGTCCCTTCTCCTCCTCCCTCCTCTCCCTTCCCCTAAATCCAGGGCAGGGAGGAGGGCGGCAGTCTGGCCCCTCAGGGGAGCTGGCTGGTGTTCGAGACCCTTCTGAGATTTGATTTCTTCCCATTCTTCCAGCGGGGAAAGAATGAGGTGTGTCCTATCTCGTTCCAGTGCTCAGAGCAGAGGGGAAGTGGGATCTAATTTACCCGGCCCCGCTCCCCCGCTCACCCCCTTGAGCTGGGGAAGGAAAAAGACAAACAAAAACAAATAGCCGGTCCCGGCTGCCCGGGGACCTCTGGGCTCTGCGAGTAACCTCTAGTCCGCGTCCAAGACCAAATGGGAAGCCGAGGGAATAAATCTTTAGTGTTTTAGGCTAAAACGAAAGCTTAGCAAGCACGGGTCTGTCGTGTGAGCAGCCCCCTCCCCTAGGCCTCGGCCTGTTCCTCCAGCTGAGCCCACAGGGGGTCCTGCAGACGGGACTTGTCCGACAGACACGTGTAATTAAAGCAAGGGTATGTTTTGGCGCGGGTGGTCAGGACCCCAGCAAAAACCTCGCGCGTATTCTTGGCGTGGAAAGGGGGCTGTCATCGTAACTTCTGGGAGAGACGTGGGCTCTGCCCTGGGGATAGCGGCAGGGAAATCAGCCGGCGACGGCGACGGAACCAGTTACCTGCAAGTGGTCACACAGGTGTGTGGGGGAGGCAGGAAGGCGTCTCAGGACCCGGTCCTCCACTGATCTGAAGGCAGAGGGACGACTGGACATTCCCTACGTGTGCCTCTTGCTTCCTCTGCTCACCCTCCCTCAGACAAGCACCCCTGCCTGAAAGCGCGCTGCATTTTTATTCTCCTGCTGTAGACACTTGCCTTAAAAAACAAAACAAAACACCAAACCCACACTAAATATTTCGGCTCTCAAAATACAAGAATGCATCGCCCATGTTGCTTCTAACCAAAGACGTGGAGAGAGAGCCTCGGGAGTCTCTCGCTTGAGATTTAACTGTAGTTTAAAAAGATGATTTTTCACAGGTTGTTCGGTCTTCTTGGGTGGCTCCGTTTGGGGGGCTGGGGTGGGGTGTCTCTGGCCCGGCTCCTTCCAACGCCTCACCTCTACCCTCTCTCTATAGAGCTCCTGCCTAGGAGGAGGTGATGGAGATCTCGCTCGCTCGCTCTTTTAGGGGGAGGGCCAGCGGTCTTGCAGCCGGGTTTGCAAAACCCCGGTTTAAAAAACTTCCGCGGGAGGACTCTGGGAGCCCAGTGACCATGAGATCACTTTTCAGGGTTTTTTTTTTTTCCAGGGTGACATTCACTCCCAACTGCCTGGGCAGGACTGTCTCTATTTAGTTGATATGTTTTAGCTAATCCAATTATTTTCAGACTGCTGCACGCGACAGTCGCATTGTTTATCCCGCGCCAGGAACTTTAATAGAGTCCGGATGCGGTTAGGCTGACAGAAGAACTCAGACCTGCGTGTTCAGTACATGAAAGCCGGCAGAGGGAGAGGGAGGCAGGCGAGCTGCTGGAGGCGAACAGAAAGCAGGGGGCCAGCGGCCACGCCGCCTCGCGGGGCTGGGCTGGGGCGTGGGGTGGAGGGGGGCCAGAGAGACGGGGCTCAGCTTGACTCAGAAAAGCCGGGAGTAGCTCGAGGCTTGAGGACTGATTGCAGAGGGAGCAAACCGGTGCACGTTGAGGTTAGCGATGGGAATTTTTTTCTTTTTTTCGAAAGTTCTCTTTTCTGGCAGCGCGAAGTTCTGGGGGAAGGTCGTGGTCTCTGAGGCCGGTGCGGTGCGGTGGTTTGTGGGGGGGGAGGGGGCAGAGCGGCTTTTCCAAGAGCCTCTGCTTTCTCGCCCCTCTGCGTCTACACCTTCAGCCCTCGGATAGTCATTTCCTTTTTCTCTCCCTCTTTCCTCTGAACATTTGGGGGCGGGTGGGGGTGGGGAGTGGCAGTTACCCTAACCCAGAACCTGGAGCCGCTATGCTCCTGTTATTACCAGTAGTAGTAGTAGTAGTAGTAGTAGTAGTAGTAGTAGTATTTACTTTTTTATATTTTAGGGGAGAAAGGACAAGACAAAAGACATTGCAGTCCGGCTTTTTACTTCCTCTTTTTTATTCCTTTCTCACAGTCAGACAGCCCAGAGCAGCATCCTGGGCAGCCAGGGAGCTGGGACATTTGGGAAGGTGGGAGCGGGAAGGAGGGTTTCCAGACCCTTCTGGGCGAAGGGAATGTCAGTGGCACACTTCTCTCGAGGCCGGAGTTCTCTGGGTTTTAGTGGTTGCTTTTTTTGTTTTGTTTTGTTTTTTGAAGTCTTCTTTGCAAGTGCACTTGCCGAAGGTGGAGAAGAGAGGGCTGTCACAGTTTGGAGAGACGGTTGAAGCAGTGGTTAGGGCACCTAGGGCTTTTTTAACGCCAGGGCTGTCGGTGCTGGGTCTCCCTCCGCAAACAAAAGACCGAGCCTGTTAGCCAGGGGACCCGCTGTGCTGGCCCCACCCTCGAACGTCAGATTGTGGGCATCTCGAAGTCTCATATCCCCACCCCCCCCATCCAACCCCTTCCATCCAGCCCAGTTTCTCAGGATTTCAATTGGAGGCCAAGAGGTGTTTGAAAATGGCGGTCGAATGTCAAGAGGCCTCTGTGGTTGTTCTCACCTAAGAGAGAGGTGTCTGTCTGAGCAGCTCACACCAGGCAGTGAGCGAGGAGAGGAGACAAGTCGGGCCCTCCATTAGGAAAACTGGCCGTTTGCTGAAGTCACACACTTGGAGGCAACAATGAGAAAGGAAAAAATAAGAAAAAGCCGGACAGGGCGCTCGCAGGCTGGCAGAGTGACTCAGGACAGAACATCGCTCTAGTGAGCAGAGCCTTGCTGAAGAGGCAGCCGTTGCTAGTTTTTGAAGGTCCCTCTGCAGAGGAAGCTGTCACCCTCCCCACTGCCTGACAAAGGAAAGGAAATCAGATGGCTCACGTCAGGCTGGGAGATCCCCCGGGCAGGGTGCCTGGGCACCAGGCTGCGGGCCCCACAGGGCAGCGGGGACTCCTCCCTGAGCCCCTGGCAGAAAGGGACAGAATAGGTGGGCACCTGGCAAGGGCCGCTCGCCCCCCTCCCCCCGCCGTCTTGGCTGGACGGGGCATGGGCTCTCCGTGTCGCTGCCCCCAGAAGGATGGACCCAGCGCGTGCCTGGGGCCCAGGACCGCCTGCCCCTGGCTGGGCTGCTGCAGGTAGCCAGCTCCTCGCCCCCTCGCCCTTTCCTCCTTCCTCCCGCCTCTCCTGCCTCCCCCTCGCCCGCCATCCTCCATCCGGCCCAGCTTCTGACCCCAGTGTGCAGTGTCTGGATGTAGTTCGGGCCCCAGCCTTTCTGGTCTGTGGACACTGTTGAGAACGTGTATGCTCCCGAACGCTACTGCCCGCGCCGGGGATCATCCCAGCGGCTCGTGGGAGGCTCTGTGTAGACCTCTTCATGGAATCCGGAGGAAAAAATATATATACAGTTTCTCTTAACTCCTTATATTCTTTTTGCAAAAGGCAAAGGGCACAAGCTCTTCAGCACCGTCACGAACTCCAGTGGCAGGCAAACCCCCTCCGTTCCTGGAAGTCTTTTTTCTTCCCTAGAACCCATCCCCGGAGAGGGAGAAACAACCCCCCAGAACAACAGGCTTACAGATGCGACCCCCCCCCCAAGTCCTTCATAGCTGGCTTAGGGGTTTCTAAAGGCCACCAGGTCCCAGAGCCCTGGAGCCAGTCTTCTGCTCCCTGTACAGGGAGCCATCCAGGTCCCCAGGCTTCCTGCCCACGTTGCTTCCTCCACGCTGTCTTCCTGGTGGTTTAGAGGTAGCTGATTAATCTCCTAAAACGAAACAGCCTCTGGGGGCTCCTCCTTCTCCCCTTCTGTCTTCCTGCCCCTCCCTCCCGGCACCCCAGAGAGTCCTCCTCCTCCGGAGAGAGCAGCTCAGGGGCTCCTGCCTGGTCCGCGGGGGCGGGGGGTGGGGGGGTGAGGGGGCGCTGGGGGGGCTCCTCCCAGTCTGGCTCTGCTGGTGGAGATGCTGGTCCACACCCATCGTCCTTGGGAGGGTGAGCCCCCCACCCAGCCAGGCAGGTTCTCCCAGAAACGGATTCCCCTCCCATCTCCCGCAGAAGTCGCAAAGAAATCAGGGATCAGACTCCCCCCCCCCCTCCCGTCCTCAGAGGGTATTTTGAGGGATTCCCTCTGGCTGCCTCCCCTTCTTCCCTCCCCTTCTTCCCTCCGGGAGATGGGTCTGGGTCACTCTTCCGTCCCTTGAGTGAACCGGCCTGGCCGGTTTTTTGTTTATTTTGTTTGTTTGTTTTTTTGGAAAAAGAGCAACTGCAGAGAGGCCTAGGTTAAGGAGTCGACCAGGAGGTGCCCCCCCCCCCCCCCCCCCCCGTTTCCTTAACTGGCCCGTTCTCCCCATCCTGCCCCTCAGGCTGCTTTCCTCCTTCAGGTTGCCCTGCTTCCCTCCAACACCTCCTGGCTTGGTCCAGCTGGGGTCACACTTCCCCTTCGGTCTCTGGCAGACTGGCTGGAAAATTCTAGAAGACCTTGGCCTTTTCTAGAGAGAAAAAAAGATGGTGGGGGAAATGAGTGGATCCCATTGGGTCCTCATCTATTACTTGGCAACCAGGGACATTTACAGTTCTATTGGAAGTAAAATCGAAAGCCTGGGGTCCTAAAATCAATCAGCCAATTGATCAATCTGTTCATCTATTTATTATCCGTTTATCTATCAAGCCATTGGTTAATCTTTCCTCCCCCACCGTTCCTAGTCTCTGTGATTGAATCAATCTATACAGACAGACCCGGCCATGATAATGGGGCACCTTTGTTTTCCTTTGAAGGAAATGAGTCGAATGTTTCCCTCTGCTATTGTCCAGGACTCAGAATTTTCTCAGGGAACGATTTCAAGTTGAAATCTGCCTTCCTCCTTGGCTGAGGCCCATCTTCCCGGTCAAGTGAGGCAGCCCCACAGCAAGGTCCTGCTGCCTTTGCTTCATGTGCCTCTTCTTGGGGCCGAGGCCGCATGTGCCCAGGGCCACACCTGGAGGGAGGGGGGAAGAGGAAAGCCCCCCAAAAGAGGGAGAAGAGAGAGGAAGAAACGTCCTGGGTTCTACCTTCATTCCCTCGCTCGCAGTGAGTGCTGTCCGCTTTTTCTGTGTGTCCTCCCTCCATGAGTGACTTATGTGTGATCTTGTTTCCAGAAGGCAGGGAGTGCGTGAACTGTGGGGCCACCTCCACCCCGCTGTGGCGACGTGACGGCACCGGGCACTACCTGTGCAACGCCTGCGGGCTCTACCACAAAATGAACGGACAGAACCGACCGCTCATCAAACCCAAGCGGAGGCTGGTGAGTCCCCCTGAGGAAGCGCTGGTCTGACGCTAACCATTGTGTGTGTTTTCATTTCCTCTCTTCAGGAAGGAGAGCTTTCTGCAGGAAATGGCAGGACGGCTCAAAATCATGTCAGCTTGCTTGGGATAGGGTTTCTCCCCGCCTCCCCGTTTCTTTCCTCGAGTTAGCCATACAGAAAAGCTCTCTCTCTTTCTCTCTCTTTTCCTTCTTGACATTTCCCAAGTCCTTGCCCGGTTTTTAAGGATGCCGCCTTTCTGGTGATCATATCTCGCATGGGTTTGCATGAGAGCTTTCAGGGGACCAGAGCAAGGGATTTAAGCTTCGCGGATAGTGACGGGAAATGCAGTGTGCAGGTGGAATGTACCGGCCACCATCTAGGACGTGTCCCCAAGTGCCAGGGCTCCTGGGCAGTGAGCACAGTCTCTGAGCTTCCTTAGGGCCACGGCTGCGTCTCGTGTGCCCGTGCCCGGAGATGGACGGGGCCAGTTAACGGACTTTCACAGGCAGCGCCCAGTGAGTCCAGCGGAGGTGCCCTTCCTCCGCGGTCTTAAGAACTGAGGACTTGCCACAGCTGATTCCTTTGGGACAAGCTGCGTGATTCCTGTCTCTCCTCTTGGTCTCCTGATTTCCCCTCTGAACTCCCATCGGTAGGGGGAGGGCTTTTAATCCCCTGCCTCTTTCTTAAATTTCCTGACCTTTAGGACCACTCGAGAAAACCCGGCACCGCCCAGCATTTGTAAAGAAAACTAACAGGAGAAGTTCATTTGTAATGCTTGTCTTTGGTACCTCAGGCTCAGATTGAATAGCAAGTGTAGGTAACAGACAAATAAAAGCAGGCTTGGCAAATGATAACCTAACCACAGTCAAGAGATCAAAATGCTTTTTGTGGTGATGACATTCACCAAGTAGAGAGGGGAGGAGGGGAATTTCCCCACGCAGATTAATGGATAAAGTAGCATCCATCACATTCTAAGTGTGTGTGTGTGTGTGTGTGTGTGTGTGTGTGTGTGTGTGTGTGGTGTTCGGGGGATGGGGGGGGCAGGAAACAAATCCTCTGTTTTCTTTTCAAAGAATTATTTGTCTCCATCAGATTTCAGTGCAACTCAACACCTTTCACATCCTTTTCAGGAGGAAAAACTTTCTAGGGATGGAAGTGCCCACGTGACTTTAATTTTTGGCGGTCTTGGGCTCTAAGCTTCATTCCTTCTGATCTTTGCCCCTTTCTCCAGCTTCTCTCCACCTCCCTGTTAGCCCCCGTGCACTTGGACATTTTTCCCCTCTTTCTCTCGTGTGCAAAGCTGACTTCCTAGGAAAAAGCTGCCGGATATCTGAGCACTGGAGATAACTCATAAACAACAACTCAGCTTCCCCAACCTAAACATCAAGATGTTTGAACGTATCAGAACAAGATGTGTTTGAAAAAAAAAAAAAATGGCTGGAGGTGTTAGCACAGAATGAATATGATCGCACCACAAAAGAATGTTCTGAATCACTCAAAACCTGGCCTTAGTAAGAAAAAAAAAAAAAAAAAAAGAAAGAAAGAAGGAAAGAAAGGAAAAAAAGAAAGAGAGGAAAAGAAACAAAGCCTACAACAAAAACTTTCTTGTTAAAATAAGTCACGGTTCCATCATCATAACTGGACTTTGTTTTTTAAGGTAAAAAAATAACGAAGGAAAAAGAGGGTGTAAACTCTCAGACGATGGGCTGAATAATGAGCAAGGGTGCACTTGACATTTTCTTGGGGTTTCTTCTGTCTGGGCAGACTGCATAGGAAAGCTCTACGTGCATTTTCTAGACCTTTGTCTTCATTCATCTTTCGTAGGTCTCCAGAACTCTGAGTAATAATTGCTTTTACTTCTGGAGTTTATGGGCTGTCACATTCAGAGCGTCTTTTCTTTCTTACTCATCCGTTCTGGGTGGTTTTACATTTTTAGTTCCATAGAACTCGTAAGCTCCAGAGAGCTACTCAGAACACATTCAGGATATAGATCTGTTTTTTTTTTTCTTCTGCCCTTAGATGTCTTTGACTTCTGAGTACCTAGAACTTTTCTTTCTCTTCTTTCCTATGTTTCCCGTTCCCTCGCTCCAGCCCTGCCTCCCCTCGTTTGCTCTTTTTGCTTTGCACGTTTGCAGATTCCGTGCAGACCACCCAGCCCGTGCGCTAGAGCTAACCCTTCCGCCCGGTGCGTGTCTAACACTGAATAAACTCGCGCAGGGAAGAGAAGGAATGACCGGAGAGAAGAGCCCTAGGATACTTTTTTGGCCTCGTGTTGCCAGGTTTTCCGTGTGTCTTCCGGCGAGCTGCGCGCCTTGCTTTATTAATCTACCTGGTCTCCCGCGGGCGAACCGGACGCTGCGGCTCCTGGAGGTTCCGTATCTGTTCGCGTCCAGTCTGTGGCCCCGAGTCCTGTCCGGAGCCCGCTTGTGCCTGTGGGACGGTCCATACACGGGGGAGGACCCACCAGGAGCCTCGCTGCCTGCAGCTGAGCGGCCGGCCGTGTGCGCCTGCAGTGCGCGTTTCAGGCTGCTGAGCCGGGAAATCTGGGGCCCGGGGAGATATTAATCTACTACATCTGAGTATCTCTTTTACAGAAGAAAGTACAGGAAGACAGTAATAATCACACGATAACATCGTTGTCAGAATCATTAAGCACTGATTTTGTGTATCATTTTCTTCCCAAGAGCCGACGGGTGAAAGTTATTTGCGTCTCAGGTCGGCGCACTTCGTTGAGGCGAGGCGGGCATGGGCATCTAGGGTCAGCTGGGGTGAATGATTCCAAAATGGGAAAGTAGAGCTTTCTCAATTATGACAGATTAGAGCTGGTTTTTTTCAAGTTATTAAAAAAATCTTAACGTTTATTTTTGAGAGAGAGAGAGGGGGGGGAGAGAGGGGGAGAGAGAGAAAGAGAGCGAGAGAGCGAGCGAGCACGAGCGGGGAGGGGCAGAGAGAGGAGACAAAGAAGCCGAAGCGGGCTCCAGGCTCCGAGCTGACAGGAACATGTCTGTGGGACAGTTCAGTGTGTTAAAGGAAGGGGACCAGTCCGGTTAATTGAGAATTTCCCCCAGGGTTCCTGTATCTGGCAACTGTAGATGTTTGGCTTGACATTTTGCTCGATGAAATATTGATGGAAAAGCACACCACGGTCCCTAAAGTTTTCTTCCAGGCTTTTATAAACCTGCCAGGATTTTCTTGATCGCAGATAGCTCCGTTCTTGCTCTTTCTCTTGCTTTCGATAATATCTTTGAGTCCAGGGCAGGGAATACTTCTGCAGTTAACATTTTCTTTTTATATTGGGGGGGGTGGCGGTGAGGGGTTGACAGACAGAGGTAACAGGTTAAACTTCATTTTCTTTGGAAAGTTTCTGAGTTAAAAAACAATCCTTTTTAAAAAGCGTGGACATCGAGAATAGCACCCTTGTTAATTGAAGTGCGTCAAAAAGTGAAAGAGAAATCTCCCTCTTCAAGGAAATGAAGGCAGTGACACAATCGCAGAATAAAATTCAGACTGAGCCTGATACCTGACCCCCAGCTCCGCTCCCTGTAAGCAGCCGGCAGGATGTACCTAGTTTCACGGAGGCGAAGTGACGCGGCAGCAGGACAGAGAGGGGTTCCTGTCGATGAGCAGAATTCTTCGTGCTTTTCAGTTTGTCTCCTGAGCTGGAAGCCACCCACGGGGAAGGAGGGTGGCGGTCCCCAGCGGGGACCCGGCCAGGAGGGATGGGCTGGTGCACGTCTGGGGCTGGGGCGCCCGGCTTGGTGCTTCCTGATGGGCAGGTCCTGTGAGTGTGCGCACACACACACACACGTGCACACGCGTATGCACGCGCACACTTGCGCAGACAGCCTCCCACTGTGCCGGCCCCTGTTCTCTTTCTAACCCAGCGTTTCTTCATTTGACATCTGTCCGGGGCTCTCGACATTTGGGGTTCCTCTTCCTCTGCTCTTAGTATGTTGTGATGGCCACCAGTGGCCTCGTGGAGAATTGCTATTCTTGGCAGTTGCCCTTGACAAAGACCCTCCCACCCCCCTGGAGTTCTCTCCTTGAGGCAGCTTTTAGGGATCTTTGTGACTTTCATGTGGGCCACTTGCTAGTTTTGATTTCAATGACAGTTTTTTCTTTTTTTTTTTTTTTAAGTCTGTCTCCGTAGTTCTGAAAACACAGTTAACATCTGTTTTAATGTCACCCTCTCTCTCTGTGTCTCTCTCTCTCTGCGCCTACTCCCAGTCGGCAGCGAGAAGGGCAGGAACGTCCTGTGCGAACTGTCAGACCACCACTACCACTCTCTGGAGAAGAAACGCCAACGGAGACCCTGTGTGCAACGCCTGCGGGCTGTACTACAAGCTGCACAATGTAAGTGTCACGGGGCCGGGGCCAGCCGCCGGCCTGGGGACGCCCAGGGGTTGGTGTCACCCGCCCCAGGCTTCTTCCTGCGTTTGGTGGCTCTCCTCTGGGCCCAACACCAGGCCTCAGGTGACCAGTGTAGAAGGGAAGCGACTGTGCCCAGGGCGGCCGGGCGGAGGCCGGAGGGCTCAGGGCAGAGGCCTCAGGTCTTCGTGGACAGTGTGCTGTGTGATGCAGTGACCCAGTGACCGAGGTGGGGCCGCTCCGGGCTTCCCCATCTTCCTTCAGGAAAACAGGGATAGCGTGATGCTTCCTTCCGGTTCCAGCTTTTTGCGAGAGAGAGAGAGAGAGAGAGAGAGAGAGAGAGAGCAAGCGTGCACGCAAGAGAGTGAGCAGGAAAGGGAGGTGGAATTGGGTAGCAGTGTGGCACATGCCGCGGGAAGTCCTGTGACAGAGGACAGTTCTGTGACTCGAAGGGGCAGAAGCCTTGCTTACCCGACGTTGTGAATTTTAAGCGGCTTCTCAGCGTAAGAGACATGAAATGAAGTGCCCGAGAGATGTCGTCAAGGTGTCTTTGTCCTGAGCGGCAGAGCACAGCCCGCCGCGGGGGTGAGGTTATCCAGAGACTGGGGGGGAAAGAAAGCCTCGTTTCCTCTCCTGTGTCTCGTCAGCGGAGGGATCACTGCCAGTCAGTCACCTGGGCTCGGCTGGGTGGCGTCTGACCTTTTAACGGGGGGGTCCTCCCGTTTTGCAATATGCTTACGTTAAAAAAGATTCAGATTTCTTCCCCCCCCCCCCCCGAAACAACTGGCTGACGGGCCATGACCTAATGAGGCCTGAAGTTAGTGAATCCCAAGGAAAGAACGGCCACTTCTCTCTCTCGGGCTCTCTCACTGTTCTCTTTTGCTCTGATCCCCCTAAAGGGTCTCTGCCGGGGTGACTTTGGAGGGAGTTCTTCTGCTTAGGTTTGTGGGGTCCTGGAGGAACTTCCCGGGGTGACACCTGGCGTCCTGGTCCCTTTTTGCCGTTTGGGAATAAGCTGCTGCGATTTCCCGGGACCCTGCCCCCCTCCCCGTGCAAAGCCCAGCTGAGCAGAACTAGCCCTCCGAGTCCTCGTGACCCGGGTCCTGGGACTGTGGTGTCCACCTGTTTATTAGCAACGAACCCCTGGCTCCGTTTTCACTTTGGGGACTCACTTGCTCACTGCAGTGGAGATAAGCAGATCTGTGATTAAAATCTGGAAGATTTGGGGCGTCAGGGTTTACGGGCCGGCCAGTCGTCGGCCCAGCCCCTCCAGTTGTTTTTGGCTGTAACTTATGGTTGTCAAAGAACTCTCGAGTTGCTTGATTACATGTGAGCCCCAGCTAGTCCCACGATGCAGACAGGGCAGAAGTCATTCGATTTCCCTTTGACTTGAAGAAGTTATGACTCAGAGAACCAAGTGTCTTGTGCAGACAGACACGGCTGATGGACCGGAAGAGCCGAGCAGGACTGATTTCCGAGCAGCGCAGGCCTTCCGGGGAGGTCGGCGGCGTCAGGACTAACAGGGGCCAGTGGAAAGTAAACACTTTCTCGTTTCAGAATGTGCCAGAGCTCAGTTCACAGTAATGAACTGTCTGTGCGCAGACACGTCTTCCCTGTTCCCATAGAAGCACAGGGGCGGTGGGGAATTGCCCGGCTCCAAATTTCTCCGACTGTTTAGCCGCGACGAGATACGGTCTCGGTTGTGTCCAGTGTGAAAAGAAAGTTGTGAAGGAGATCGATTTCTCATCAAATCAGAGAAGGGTCAGGGAAGCCTCTTGGCCGCTCGCTCCTGGGAGAGACACTCGCTCCCCGGCACGCGTGGGTTTTTCCTCCTTCTCTGGTTTCGCAGGACCTCACAGAAGGAGGCAATTGATGTGTATTTAACGATGGGAGATTATAATCTACGAGCGTTCTCATAGCACCATGTTTTGTTATGCCCACCTGGACACCTGCACATGTGTGGTATGAGTTAGTTCCTTTCTTCTTATCTAGGTGTTTCGATAACTACCTATCTCAGGATCAGTGTCTCTAGCTAGTGTGGAGACTAGTTATCTGGGTCTGCGCTGCTATCTGTGTAACTAGATATTATATTTAGATATCTGGCTGTGTGTGTCTAGATATCGGCGTCGAGAGCTGTGTGTCTAGACATTATCTTGGGGGAAGATGTGATGTGACAGTAGATTCCTATCACCTCTGTAGGCTGTGTCTTTATCTTGATTGTCACTTTGAAGAAGGAACCCTGAGATGTGCCTTTGGCAGTGACCTTTTACCTCTTCTGCCTTCCTGGCGCTTGGGGGGCCTGGGGGTCAAGTCTGTGCCCCTCTTCAGGGTGACCTCTCCCAGCTCAGCCCCAGGAAGCCGTGTCTGCTGCTTCTAGAAGCTTTGTTGACAGCCTTTCTCTCTTGACTGTTGGGGTGTCTTCCTGGACTGTCCTTTTCTAGGTTTGGGTACAGTCACAAGAGACCATGAGAGAGCCTCTTGTCTTGTGTCTCTCTGCCCTCGAGGGCCCGGGCGGGAGATGATGCTCTTCCCTAAGGAGTCAGGAACCGCCGAGACCTTGACATTCCCTCCTTGAGTTGGCTTGCCACCTTCCCCCGAGGTGTGGCCTGGTGCGTGGTCTGCCGTGTGGGGCACCTGCGTGCAGTTGAGTTTAATCCCCTTCTGACTCGCTGTGGGGAGTGGTGTCTGATGCTCTGTAAAGCCCCCTCTCTCGATTCTACACCCCTTCCCCCCTCCTGCCCCCCAAGTAAATGTATTTCACAAACAAAATAGAGGCTTCTCGAAAAGAGAGAGATGGCACGCCGTCTCGGGTGCTGAGACTAGCTGCAGACCTTCGGGGCCGGGCCTTGCTGTCTCTTCACTGGACCCCACTCTTGCTCCATAGTTTTCAGGGTGGGGGTGCCCCCATGGCACCCCAAAGTGATCGTTAGGTCCTTGGCGAGGGGCTGGGTGGCCGTCGGTCTACTTAGGAGTGCACAGTCAGAACAGGGATGGAGAATTGCCACGTAGCGACCGAAGTTGCTGGGACAGCGGTGAGAGGCTACCTTTTGGAGAGGCACGCTGTGGGGAAACATGACCCCGGAGGCTTCGGGGTGCCCAGGAAGGTTTTACAGCGCCTCTTACTGTGATAAAGCCGGGCAGGAGAGAGGCAACCAAAAGGTACTTTGAACAGGGGTGCAGCCCTGCTCTCTCAGACCCACACCCTTCAGGTTGAGTGCACTGGCTGTGGTTCTGTGGTCGTGGCACGGATGTCGGATAAGGAGACAAAATGTTATTTCCCTCTTGAAGGTTCCTCAGTTGCCCCCGTGCCCGTGAAACGTTCTGAGGAGAGTCCAGGAAATGAGACGAGTTATCGTCTTTTTGCTACCAGGGAAATGCAGTCATATCAGGTGGATGTCTAGAATGTGGTCCCCAAGAATGCAAAGTTTCCTGAGACAGGTTTTCCTCCAAGTGACTGATGGGGACAGACATAAAGAAGCCCCTCTGCTTGGGACACCTTACCTGTGGTCTCTGGGTTTCTGAAACCGATGGAGGCTGACAGGCCTCTCCACAGCCCGGAGCTGGGGGACCTGGGGTCCCTGGGAAGGGGACAGGAAGGGGCGGGAGGAAGGGGTCCCCCGAAAGCAGAACTCCAGTGTGGGGCGGTCAGAGCAGCCGCGTGGCGGTGCGAAAGCCTGTGTGCCCTCGCAGAGCCAGCCGGAAAGTGTAAAAAAAAAAAAATTGATCTTTGTTTAGATTAACAGACCCCTGACTATGAAGAAGGAAGGCATCCAAACCAGAAACCGGAAAATGTCTAGCAAATCCAAAAAGTGCAAAAAGGTGCACGACACGTTGGAGGACTTCCCCAAGAGCAGCTCGTTCAACCCGGCCGCCCTGTCCAGACACATGTCCTCCCTCAGCCACATCTCCCCCTTCAGCCACTCCAGCCACATGCTGACCACCCCGACACCCATGCACCCGCCGTCCAGCCTCTCCTTCGGACCTCACCACCCGTCCAGTATGGTCACCGCCATGGGTTAGAGTCCCTGCTCGATGCGTCAAGGCCTCCGGGCGAGAGTCCCTCCAGCCCCTTCTACGTGCATTTTTCCAGGAGCAGAATCATGAAGCCGAAACCCGATGGATATACGTTTTCTTGAAGGCAGAAAGCAAAAGGACGCTTGCCACTTTCGCAGAGGCGCTCGCTGTGGTGTCTGTGTTCTCGGTCGCTGAATCTGGATCCCATTTGTGAATAAGCCATTCAGACTCATCTTCCCTATTTAACAGGGTCTCTCTAGTGCTGTGAAAACAAACGAGCAAGCAAGCAACCGTGCTGAACGTTGCGTATAACTTATATTGTGAGAAATACCGTACATTTGAAGAAGACTTTATTGCATCCGGGTAGCTGTAAGAAAGGCATGAAGGACGCTGAGAATTTTAAGGAATATGGGGGCAATCGAGTGTGGAAATGGAGAAGAAACTAGGTCTGCTATTCAAATGGACCAACGGCCCGTGCCGTTCTCTTTCACTGGCCATAGTTGTTTGATGCATTAAAAGAAAAACAAAAAACAAAAACAAAAAAAAAAAAAGGAAAAAAACAAAAAAACAACAAAAAAAAGAAAAAAGTCGTAGGCAAATCATTTGTTCAGAGCCGTGGGCCTCTCTGTCCAGGAGAGTCTCTGAGCCCCGGGCAGTCCGTGTCACCGCTCACACGATGCCGTGAGAGGGGCTCGGGAAGCCTTCTCCGGGCCCACACGCTTTGCGAACGAGTCCCTTGTAATTGTTGTTTGTATGTATAATTCAGAGCACCAAAATAAGAAAAGATGTAGATTTATTTCATCATATTATACAGACTGAATTGTTGTACAAATTTATTTACTGCTAGTGTTAAGAACTACTCTTTGTTTTAATATTTTCCTTCTTTCTCAAGTTTTTTTTTTTGGTTGAATAAACTAGACAACATTCAGTTGACCTAAGGTGGTTGTGCTCCAGAAGGTATATTTTCCATTTTGTTTCTCAATGATATTTATTAAATAGCTTCTAAGGGTACAGTAGCATCTACCCTCCCTCCCGCACCCCGCAGCCTGTGCTATGAGGGTAGCAGTGTACGAGCTACCGACGTGCATGTCAGCGACTTGGGCTGGACAGACCGGGCCCCGAGAGCTCCCTGCCTGACACTTAGCGCCCTGTCGTGTTCTGTGTTAGTGACCGCTGCCTTCCATCCGGCCTGTTGGAGTAATACTATAAGAATACACAATCAAGTGAAAATATTTTGAAAGCACCCAAATAACATCGTAACAAAGTGATGGCTGAGCTCTTCTAGAACCTGGTAGCTCTCGCTCATTGAAACACAAAACCCAATCCTGTTAAGTTATTTGCTAGGAGATTGTGCAAACCTCAGAGAGTCACCAGGTCTCCTTTTGGGAGACTGGGCATCTCTGGAGCTCTCTCTGCAGCCCAGAGGCTGTCTCTGGGTGTGGTGGGGGGCTGGAGTGCCTTCTCTGTCCCCTCCTGCTGGCCCGCAGGGGGAGCGGTGGGAAGATTAACTCGTGGAGACGCACCAGTGGACTAGAGCTGACGGATTCCTCCCGCTTCTCCGCAAGACGTGAAGGCGCGGGGCTGGTGCTTGCGTTCATCTCTGTTTTCCTTTCCTGCTGTTGAATTGAATTAACGCCACAGTGGAGGGTTTGTTGGCATGTTTGCGGAACACGAAAATAACCGTTTTTTGTAACTTACGCTGTATAGTTTCCTTTTACTCTGTTGGCAGAATGTGTAACCATGGCACACATTTTAAAATCTCTGTTAATCGCCTCTCTGCTTTCTTAGCAAATATTTTAAACCTAAGGCTAAATGTTGAAATAAAGGAGTTAGAGACCTACTGAGCTGCACCCTGGAGATCTTACTGGCTCCTGATTAATGACCCGCACCTGGAACGCAGTTTCCAGCCACTTTTGAAGCACCGAAGGCTCCCGTCCTCTACTGCCATGTTAAATTCGGGAGGTTTCCTGTGAGGTTCCAATGTCTCAAGATCTGCCACCTCTTTTCTTCGCGAACAGATTTGAGTCTGTGCTCTTTCACCTTAAGAAGAGAGAGTTCAAATTCTTGACATTCTTGGGGCGGGATGGGGGGGTGCACACACGTAGAAAACTCCCAAACTCGGGACTCACACAGCTACGGTGTGTGTTAGGTACTGTGGGGATACTGGCATCTCTGATCCTACTTCTTCAGGGAAGTGTCCTTTTATCATTCTGTCCGTTGATCCAACACTCGAAGATATTTCTAGAAGATGGTGTGACAGATCTAAAACATAGCAATAACGATGATTCAGTTCCCTCTTTGGAGCAGTATCATGTGTTTTCGTGGTTTTGTTCTTTTTTTCTTCTTTTGACTTCACATAAAGTCCGTAGAAGGCGCAATAGACAGAGGAGCAATGTGAAGAGGGGGTTTAGTCTAGAAAAACGGAACAAGACCAGAGAGCCAACATATTGCTGGAATATTTTTGAGGCAATTGTAATCCCTAATTAATTTTCAGCCTGTTTGGCTTCACTTTAGAAATAGTTGCCTTAGCTCCTCCGTACGAGGTTAGCTGTGAAATATATGTGCAGAGTTGGACTATTTCTTTAAACCATTTGAAAAGCCAACATACTGAGAGAAAAGAGATGACCTAGTTCTTGAACACTGTTGCTGTTTAGGGACCCCCTCATATATGGCGGTGAAAATTCATGAAGCTGAAGTTGAGAATTGAAGCGCTGCCGTCACGTCTTCAACAAATACCTAGTGAGCGTCTAGGTCAGAGTCCATTTAGAAGCCCTCCCCCCCCTTTTAAAGCAAATCAGGAAATAGAGAGGCCAAGACTCCAGTGTCTTACTCTGCATGTGTGACATTTACATGGTATTCCCCTTCAAGAGCTGCACACACGCACTGTGGTGAGGCTCCCAGTCCGGCCTCTGGCTTATTCGCCAGGCAGACAGAAGGCCGCAGAAGTGGGGGGCCCCAGAGCCCGCCTTCTGAGATAGCTGTCTATTTTCTACGCTTTCCTTTGGTTTTAAAGTCATTTTAAAAGCTTCCTCCTCCACACAGGACTTCATTTTAGTGTTTCCTAATCAAGGACTGTGTGACGGAAGCAAATCCTTTGCAAGTACTGTGTGTCTGACTTGAGTTTCATAAAATAGATCTGTTCACAAAACTCAAACCTGGAAACTCAAATGCCATCCTACCCCCCCCCTGCCGCCCTGATACCTTCCCCACAACAGTGAATTGTCCCATGTACATTTCGGAGATTTAGAAGCATTATTACTCCATGTTGTCTTCTGTTCCATGACCCCTTGGTCCTCAACCTCCAATCCACCCCGAGGTCTAGAATCATCTCTGTGACCTCTCCTGGACAGCACTCAGGGTTGACTTCTCTAGATAAATTCCCTCCAATTTCCAAGCTAAGCAGAGATTTAAAACTTAATGACAGTAATCGCTTGAAAAATCATATGATAATTGAAAGTCCAAAAGAAAACATTGGAGCGCTAGTATGTGATGTACAGTTTTATCCACGAAGCAAAAAATGTTAACCATTATCCGAATAGCTGAGTCACACACCAGCCCCTTCCTGCACTTACAAACGAACCTCTGAAGCACACTTTCATTACCGTTCATTCCATCTTGCCCAAACAGTGTGACTGCATCCTCAGAGTGGACTCATCCACGTCCTTCGCAAAAGCACAGTGCACTGAAAACTTGAGATTTCAGAAAAATTCACTGATCATTTGAATATGTAGGAAGACAGACATCCTGGAGCCTGAAAGGGTGGGCTTGACCCTGGGCTTTTCCACTAATGAACAGAACGATCTGAGGCCAACTGTTTGATTTCTCTGGGAATCGGCTCTTGATTTGTATTATTGGACGTGATGATCTCAAAGATCCACTGGAGAAGACAAACACTGGGATTCCATTGGATTTTTTTTTTTTTTTTGAGAACATCCTTTATTAGGAAAGACGTCCTCATACCACTGTCAGCGTTTTGACCAGTGTATTTTTAAAGCCTCAAGTGATACTAGTTCCTAAGATTTCAAAGGGGTCGGGGTAACTCTCCTTCTGTTCTGTCCTTGGTACGATCTTGCAAAGCACAAAATCGACTTGTATTTTGTGACCGTCAACCCAGGACAGGAGCTAGTGTCCTCGTCTGCAGATCCCCAGCTCTTTCTGCCGTGTGTCCAGGGCCCTCTCGAGTGGAATACACAGGACTTGATTGTCCCGCTGATGTTGCCACCGTGGTTCATATTTCAGTCATCCATTGTGTAAAGAAATGCTGCCGGAATTGCTTACAGGCTCTTCTAGGGAGATAGCCAGAGGCCAGCGTTTTGTTTTCCCCGGGCCTCCCCCACCCCCTCTTTCTCTTTGGAGCCTGGGACCAGCAGAGGAACGAGATCAGTATCCCCCTCCAGAGCTGTTCGTTCCGGGTGCCCTATGCGGGTTCTGGTATCGCCAGGCCCTTCCCCACTCCCCCTGCAGCCCTTTGCAGACGATCCTGGTACATTAGCCACATTGTTTGTGGGGCGGTTTTACAATCCGCTGTCATGTCTGTGAGTTCAGCAGGCGCACATTGGAGTGAGGATTTGGAGAGCCGGCCCCTCCCCCCAAACCCCTGCCCCCCGTCACCCCGCCACCCCCACAGGACTCAGGCTAAACACAAGGCATGGATTAGACAGCACTCGTCTGTACCTCCGGCCCCGGCCCCAGCCCCCAGCCCCAAGACGTGCAAACACCTGGAGGGGAGCTCGTGTTCCTAAGGAGGCAGCTCTGGGTGGGGAATGGCGCACCTTAGCGACGTGTGGACCCAGGCAAGGCAATCGGCTCCTGGAACCGGGTACTAAGTCGATGAATTGGTCCGAACGGGACCCCACTGGAGACATGTTGAGTGGTGTCCGCACGATGCCTAAACTACGAGGCAGTCCGCTAAGAAATCGGCTAATCTGGTTTTCCTTTATTTTTGGCCTTTGGACAGAAAAACCGTCTGGAAAAGGAAAGTTTTATGTTCTTCCTGTGCTTTCTTTTTTTCTGACTATAAAATCCTTGAAGACTTATTGAGCAAATTTGTAAAGTACTAAAAAAAATTTCTTTTAAAGAAAAGAAGTGAAGAAACTGTAAATTTTGAGGGGTGGGGGGTGGGGGCTGCTGTTGAATGGGCTGTGTGCAGTCTGGTCTTTCAGTTGGTTTATCTCCAATGTCTCAGCCTATCTGCTGGCTCCGGATGGGGGTGGGGATGGGGGCGGGAGGGGCTCGGGTAGAACATCTGCTTTTTGAGGGTCATTAAAACTCCATTTCAGGAGCTGGATGGGGTCATTAAGTAAATCCACCTTGTAAAACGTGGCCGTTCTCTCCTTTCTTATGGGGGGGGGGGGAGACTCTACTTTATTGGGATTTCCATCCCAGCGCCTTACCGAGGACGGCTGGTGTGACGCTTGAACTCCAGCCAGAGGCTCTGAACATGCCGGTGGCTCCGGCCACAGTCCCCAGCCACCGTCACTGCTGCTTCCCTCCAGTGACAGTCCCACGATACCGAGTCCGAAATGCCCGTTCTCTCCCACAGGCTAACCATTCCTGCGCTTGGCACATAAGCCCTCCTGTCTTTTACAAACTTGAGAACCGAGTGCGTGAAGCTGTCCTCTTCTTCACTTTGAGCGTCGTCAGAGTCGCAGCAAGCTGGGCCTCCCTCAGATCATTTCCAGGGCTCAGCGGATTGGGTTCACTCTTCTGAGGACCCCCGGATTCCTGACAAGCATCTGGATCCATGGAGGCCCCCTGGAAGGATGAGGGGACTGGTCATTTGTTCAGTCTGACCCTCGGGGCTCACTCAGACTGGACGGTTTGAGAAGTAGAGTGGGTAAATGGGCTTGGAGGTGGCCATCCCGTATAGCTAGGCTGCCAAACAAAGCTCATGACCCGCTAACCTTTCCGTGGAGTGCATTGTGTGAGGAAGGCAAGGTGCCAGTCTCTCAAATCAGATCTTCTGCCTTAATTCTCAGGAGATCCCTGTTGAGTGGAAAGATTGTCATTTCATGGCTTACGACACTGTGGGGGAGAGTGGGCATAATTGCTCAAAGTCACACATCTGTTAAGTGGGTTTGCTTCGACTTGGACTCAGCTGGGTCCAGAGTCCACCCCTTGATGGAGGCCCGGCCCCATAAGGAGCAGCCAGATCTACGTCGGCAGCCCTGGGAGGAGGTGCTTGGCACATAAGCCATACTCAGCATTTTGTTGGAAACATGAATGACTCTGCTATGCTGCTTTGAACATATATTAGTCCCTTTCTCAGAGGCGAAGTCGAAATCACTCATTAAACATGGGGGCTTCCAATTAGACCGTGTTCTGGGCAGGTAGGAGTGGTTGGGGGTGTGTGAGACAGACAGGATGGTCTCACACTCCTCAGATGCCTGGTCATAGATAAGGTAGTAGAATAGGAACACCTAAATCTTTAGCTCCCAGGCGAACTCTCTGTGAATGTCAAGTCCAATGCCTCCATGCAGCCAGCATCTATGTTTCTCATTGCTGCTGTAACAAATTACAAAAAAAAACGTGGTGGCTTATTGTGGCCCAAATTTATTCTCTTTACACGTCTGGAGGCCCCAGGGAAGAACCGGTTTCCTTGCCTTTTCCAGCTTCTGGAGCCTCCTGCTTCCTTGGCTCATGGCGCTTCCACGTGTCATGCCATCCTCTGGCTTCCGTCCTCACATCTCAGATTTCTCATTTGTCAAAAGGGAGTGGCTGTCCCTCCCCCTGGAGAAGGAGGTGGCATAGAGGGTTCCATCCCCTGCTCCTCCCAGGTTGGGTATGCAGCACCAAGCTGGGGAATTTTTCCGCTACGCAGACTGAACGATGCCCACCTAGAGCT